TTTACACAAAGGAAAATGAAGAACCAAGCTGAATTAGATCTTGTCATCTTTTTATTCCCACCAGGTTGTTGTGTGCCATGATGATGAACTTTCCCGTGTGACAAATACAGACTTGAAAATTTGTGACTTGAATTTCACGGTAATAAATATTATTTTTTCAATCTTCAATCTTCATATCTGATCTTATCTCACAAATACATACTGCTTTTGTCTGATTTTTCATTATTTGTTGGAAGACGATGGAGCACAGTGACTGGTTTGATCAGAGGAGGATCAATTGAGCATGTGGTCTGATGGTTCCAGCGAGTAGTCTAGTTGTCAGTAGTAGTGACTGAAGTTGTGACAACCCAAGAAGTCATTGTTGCAGTCAAGTGATTCCTGTCTCTGACAGTGACCCTTCACACATTTACACCCTAACATCAGCATATAATTATATTCTCCATACTGTACTCTTTATGCTATATCTAAGGTGCTGAGAAGGAGAATTTGTTTAACAAATCAAGCGCTTCTTTGGTTGGCAATCATTTCTGTTATTCTTGACTTGTGACCCCATGACCTTATGACCTAACATGTGTTTCAGGCATGATATTATAAGGAGAAATCAGATGTTACTCCCTCTTAGGGGTAAATGGGTCAATGATGACTTTCATTAAGGTTGTTGATGCCTCAGTCATAAACAGCACTCCTCTCCCACACTGCTCTGATCACATGATCAAATGACTATGTAACATTAGGAATTCTGAAACAATTTCTTGAGTTAAAAAAGATAAGCAGCTGACTGTGTTGATAAGTCTCAAAATCTTTGTCTCTTGAGTTACATGTCTTGAATAGATGCATTAAAATTGAAAATATTTACACAAGAAATGACTCATTTTGCTTCTTTCTATCTTTTGATTTAGGATTTACCTCCACTTAGCAGAACACTTCCTGTACAATTTCAACCAGGTGACTTGATACAATGAATATGTTAACGATTTCAGTCCCAAGATTTCTTTACTAATTCTGCTGACTGTCTGCTATACAATTCGTATGATGTTAGTTTAGAGAATTTGGTACTGGATCAACTGATGATCCCCAATTGATATTTTGTCTTTATTCTCATCACTTGTCAGCTTGATATTGTACTGATATTGTAAGGAGAAATACTGTCTTAATCAGTCATGGTAGTTAAAGGTTTGTTGACTGTTGTTGGTACTAGTGACTGACATGTCAATGGTTTATTATTATTTTTTTTTTATTTGATGATTTATTTTTTTATTTAACTCAGCTCAGTTTTACAAAATGTATAGGTTAAATTTACATAGCAACTAAACACAGTACAGCAAAGGAATGAGGAGAAAAAATTTAGCAATAAAATAGGTAGCGAGTTAGGATCATCCAAATAGCAAAGGCTAATCTAGTGGAGGACCCCAAGGATCATCAACAACCTGTGGAGAAGTCATTGCAATAGTGGAGAGAGACTTCTACTTATGCTGTCATGATAGGACTTGAGGCAATGATCCTGGTAGTTCTGAAGTTACCTAATGTCTAGCTTGTGCCAGGCATTCAGGTAGTTTGATGGGGAGAGAAATATTAAACAGTGCAATAAGAGCACCAGGCAAAAACATACTAGGATGGTTTGGATCAGGTAGCGTTCATTATGCGACCCCACCCAAACCTTCACCACTACTATTACACTGTTTACTATTGCACTTCTTTTTACTATCTGAATGCCTGGAGCAGGCCACCTAATGTCTTACAAAAGTATCAACTGTCAGAGAAAATCTCTATGAAGTAATGCAAGTAATTTGCTCTTTGACTGGTCCAGAGGCTTCACTTACTATCTGAACACATCAGATTAAAAGTTGACACTTTTTTTTATTATTATGTGATCAAGTTTGGATTGGTATTGATCTTAATCAGTTACTCAAATGTTCTTAGTACTTAAGACAGTTTTCTTGTTTTACCAGTACTCTGGATTCTCACTGGCCCCTTTAATCTTACTCGGTTCTAACTAGGTATTGTGATTAATTATATTAGGTTTGCCACACTCAGAGAAATACATTCAAACACTGTCTTGAATTCCTTTGACAGAGTTCTAAATTGTATGCTCTTTTATTAGGTGTGTCATGTGTTATGAAAAATAATGATTGTCACATTCCACTGCTGGATAGTGTTTTTGAAGCATTTCCTAATGTTCCAATAAATGTGGATATCAAAACCAACTCTGATCTACTGATAGACAAGGTGAGTGTGAAGACAGCTATAATTGTATTTCTTTTCCATTAGGTTAGATGCTTTGTGTCAGTTTTTAAAAGTGATTCCTTAAATTCAACATTGTGCATTCTGAATTGTACAATACCCTAGCAGAAAATCATTGCAGATTTTTATATTTCCACAGTAGATATAATCCTTTTACTCCCAGAGGTGATTAACATGTAACTTCTCCCAAAAATATCCATACATTATCCAGCAAACAGGTAACAGTTAGCCCAATGGATAGTGCGCTCGACTGTTGTGC